ACCTTTAGGCACCCCGGTTCTGCAGAAGGCCGTGTAGGTGTTTTGGGCTGGGTGTTCAATTGACATGTTGGGAATCCTTTTTGTTCACCTTGGTGGGCGCACGTTTCGGCGCTGAGATCCAAGGCACCTTAATGGAGATGACTCGCTTGGAGCCTCACGAGGTGATGAAGGGAAAAGGTCTGTTGGTGGAGTTTGACAGGAAGATGGGCAAGGCAGTCTTTGTTTCACACTCCCTAGACCTTGCACCCGAATCCTGAAGCCAAAACCTAAAGCTTTAAACGTTACACCCTAAACGCCTAAGCAAGGCAGTCATTGTTTCAAAACCCCCTGAACCTTAAATCCTAAACCTGAACCCTGAAAGCTGAGCCTTACACCTGAAACCCTGGGAAGGCAGTCTTTGTTTCACACCAATGGTTGGAAGCCGATCATCCCGACCCAGACTGCCGGCAGATACGGGTGCTACAGGATGCTCTGAGGACAGTCGCAGGGTTGCATTCAGAAGAGGCTTCGGGTGCTTCGGGTTCAGGATTATAGGGTGTAGTGATTTGAGTCTGGGGTTTAGGGCTTAGGGTGAACCCTCATCCCTGGACGTTTTTCATAAAGCCATAGATGTTTTTTGTCACATGGGTAGTTCTCGAAATTAAGGTCCGTCTTTAAGTTCCCAAATAGTACGGCAAGAGGACTACCCACATTGTAGAGAGCCCCAAACCGTCAACCCTAAACGCCAAACCCTGAGCCAGACCTAGGTCAAGAGCATGCGGAGCATCCCGGTGGATGTTGTGAGCGAGACTCTGAATCATGGTACACCCTTGCCGACATCCGAGCTTCTCTCCGAACCGCTCTTCTTTTGGTACGACTATTTCTCATGCCCCCAGAAGGAAGAGCAAACCACGGGTCATAAGCGGCTTGCCATCAACAGTATACCGGCCTTTGTGGATAGGTGCTCCTTCTTTTTTGCGCTGGTACCAGTGTTGGAGAATCCAGATGGAACCAACGCGATCTCTCCCGGGAGCTGGCATGGCCGGGGGTGGTGCAGGCTAGAGAGGACTTGCCGAGAACTCGCCCAGAATCACGACTGGGTAGTGGTGAAGGGCCCTGAAGACCTTGAGCTCATCTCAGGTGCAGTAGCATCAACTCGCGCTGGGGGTGGGCCAGTGGGGGAAGGTATTTTCACCGTGGCGGAGGATCGCTCGAAACTCGGGCCAGTCCTCATGACGGCGCTGAAGCGGAAGTTGATGAGCCTGCTGGACGCACAGGATTTTCCCGGCTATCGTGCCTTCCTCAACCAGCAACATGCACTTTTTAGAGGCTTGGAGTGTGATGCCTTGGTCCCAGTCCCTGGTTTTGAGATTGATCTGAAGTCCCCATGGCGTGCCATGAACTTCTTCCACCAGAACGGTTTCCGCAGTGTTTCGGACAAAGACAGTTGCGGGTGGATGCCTCTCCACTATGCTGCGGTGAATGGGGATCCAGCACTGGTTCAAGATTTGCTGGTGCTGAAAGCAGATCCCGACCAAGGCACCAAAGGAATCCACCCAGCCTTCGGTTTTGAGAGGGGGATGCTGCCTCTTAGCATCGCCTGCCTCTTCCGGAACACGGACCTCATCCAGTTTCTCGTCTCCGCCAAAGCTAAGGTGACCAGCAACGTGGTGATTCACGGCCCCCTCCACTGCGCAGCCGCTCAAAGCACCAGAGAATCCATGCGGATCCTCTTGGAGGCTCGCTGCAGCCCGCTGGAACAAAATTCCTTTGGCGGGACGATCCTGCAAATGGCGGCCTACTACGGATCTTCTGAAGCCATTGATGAGCTCCCGAGACATGTCAATACACCCCTGAATGCATCTGAAGCTCTTCATAGTGCAGCCTTGGGTGGGGCAGGTGCCGAGGTGGTCCATCGACTGGTTGAGATCAGAGCAGATGTGAATATTCAGACAGATGAACACTTCACGCGCAAACCTCTCATGCGAGCCGTGTACACGCTGTTGACTCTGCAACACCGCTTTTACAAGGTGACTCCTTTCTCCGAAGTCATGTACCATGCGAAGGGTGCAACCCCGTTGATGGTGGCCATGCTCTGCTGCAACCATGAATGCGCTGCAGCGTTGATAGCCGCAGGAGCACAGGTTAACTTGCGGAATGCACGTGGATGTACTGCCGCAGACTTCGCCATCGGGCGTTCATTGCCGGAATTCTTGCGGGAGGCTTTTGATGGAAGAGTGGAGGCATGCCGAAGGGTGTCATTGCTTGCACGTGGTTGGGTGGAGCTCTCCTTCTGACATGTTTTCAACAGGAGAATAGCGAGAACGCCTCGGGCGAAGCTCAAGACTTGCAATTTCTGATAGTTTCGCGACATATGCGTGCTTTTCGTGCTTTGGACTTCCACTCGTCGATTACGATTAGCGGTGCCGAAGCATGTATCTGGTATAGTTGGGGTAGACCACCCCGCCCAACAGGGGTCAATGATACTGTAAAACAGAGATGCTTCAACATGTCCCCCAAATGGTGGGACCCCCAAATGGTGGGACCAGCATGTTGTTGTGTCTACCATGTTCGCAAGTATCACCGTGCCTGACGTGCGTCCAAAAAGTGTTGATTGCCAGCGGCGGGGCCGGTGAGGTCATAATAACAAACGAAATAAAATGCAAATTACACCACCACTACCACTACTACTGCTACTACGACTACTACGACGACGACGACTACTACTACTACTACTACTACGACGAGTACACTACTACTGCTACTACTACTACTACTACTACTACTACTACCACTACTACTACTACTACTACTACTACTACTGCTACTACTGCTACTACTGCTGCTACTGCTGCTACTGCTGCTACTGCTGCGACTGCGACTGCGACTGCGACTGCGACTGCGACTGCGACTGCGACTGCGACTGCGACTGCGACTACTACTCCTGCTACTACAGCCAACAACAACAACTACTACTACCACTACTACCACCAACAACAACAATAACAATAATCATAGTAACAACAATGATAGTAGGGTGAACACAGTACTCTAGCAAAGCAGCTTTCACGACAGTAATCATAATAATAGCAACAATGCCAAAAACACTAATAATAATCATTTTGTGATGCTGGGTGGGCCGACTTTGCAGGTGTAGATCTGCGAGTCAAGTGGCAGCCGCAAGGCCTCTACGCCGCAACTCCTTCAGCGGAGAGGCTCCTGAACATCTAAACGGGCCGTAGGGATGATGGTGTGATGGTAGGGAACATTATCTTGAGATCACAACTTAGGATCTCTGTGGGGGGATCTTTATACAATCGCGTTTGTTGCATTCTTAAGTCGAAGTAAGTATCGATGGACCCTATCCTCTTAAACAGTCCATCTGAAGATCGAGCTGAGTACAGGGCCCCTTTTGCCCCTGTATAGCTATGCTGACACGGCGTATTTCAGGGCTCCCCCCTTCGCGACTTGGGTCGGCCGCTCTTTGTAAAGGGGTTTCAGGGGGCCCGGCTTAGGGGTTTAGGCTTTAGGGACTCTAGGGCTTAGCTCTTAGGGGTTTGAAGGCATGTAACGACAGTACAGAGGTGTTTCTCCAGTTCTTGGGACCTCAAACTCTGCACCCTGGACCGTGCGTGCTGAATTGTTTTTTCGGGTTGTATGGTGGAGATAAGCGTGATGCAAGATGTTCTGCGTGTCAGGGCTGAGAGCTTCGTAACATGTTTGGTCGCTTGCCTTCTGGGGCTGGGACTCTTAATCTTGAAAGATACCTGCTTGAGTCAACTGGAGGGTTTAGTGTTTAGTTTCGGTTTTGGGGTTGACTAGGGCCGGGGTTCCCTAAGCCCTTAACCCAGTTCAGACTTTAGGGTTTAGGCTCACGGGGGGGGCTGTGTAGGTTTCAGGTCGTTGCTAACATGAGATTTTGTACCCTGGGGCCTCAACTTTAGGGTTTAGGGTTTGCACCATGATGTGAACCTTTAAATGACACCCGGCTTTGTTTTTGGTAAGGCACATTTCCACAGACATGCTGATTGGCTGCTGCCAAAAAAGTGTTGCTCGCAAAGCGGATTGCCGTGCTCGTCTTACCCTAAATCCTAAACCAAACCTAAAGCCTCAAACCTACGCCCAAGCTGTAAACCCTAAACCCGAATCCTAGGCCCTGAAGAAGACTTCTACAGTTCTCGGTGTGACGGTTCTTTCGTTTGGATGCGCCCTTTCAACTAAGATCGTCCCTGGCAGGAAGGTTCTTGTTGCTCGAGCTGAGGGTGTGCTGGAGGCTGCGGTCTTGGCATCGTTTCATCTGGAGGCTTGGGAGTTGTGGCTCAAGAAGGGCTATCGTCTCTAGTCGACACATCCCCAATGGTTTACAGCAGTCCTGCCGATTCTTATTGTTTATCTTTTGGACGGTTTGTGTGCATGGCTGTGTTTCAGTTATGTTTGCGGCGCTTCCAAAATAGGACCACCCAAGATGGGGAAGAGGAAATTCCCGAAGCAACGAGCAGCTGGCGATCTCCAAACCTTTGCTCGATCCAAAATCACAGGCCCGACTTAAGGTCCGACGGCTCTCCCAAACCATCCCTGCTTTTAGGGTGTCTTATCCGAGGTCGAGCAGCGGGTAGTGCCCCAGGCCACAGCCGGTTCTTGCACGCATCTAGTTGCTCTGCACTTGCAGGCTTTTCAGTGTTTAGGCTTTGAATTTCGAGATCGAGTCGGTCATACGTCGCGAGGTGTTGGTTCGGGGAATTGAGGAGAGAAGCTACTGAGAGACGCTTCGTGGCCTGTTGTTCTGCGTTCCTACAGTGCTTCCGTTGACCGTCAGGGTCCTACGTCTTAGGAGTCACTCGCAAAATGGACTGGGTCCTTTGGCATGAGACTGTTCGTGCTACAGAATACCACTTCTAACGCAGACAACCAGATTCTATGCCAGCGATTTGCAGACTACTGCTTGCAGAAGGCCAGAATGCTCGTCAGCTTTCTTGGTTTGCAGGAGACGATAGCCGTGGACAGTTGTAGCCCTCGCAAAGATGACCATGGTAGAAAAGGTCCTGGTCGTGGTGACTTTCGTCATCAGCTTGGTCGTGAATGGTTTGTCAGCAAGTGGTGTTTTCGGGCAATCGATCGGTGCCATCTCCGACCAGTATCCCACCTACGTGACTCCAGACGGCTTGACCTTCTTGATATGGAGTGTCATCTACACCCTGGAGTGGCTTGGACTACTCAGCTGTAGTATGATGTAAACTCGATTGCCGGGAACCCGCAGAAACCGGGACCTGTAGAGGCCTAAAGTGTGCAGTGTCCTATAAACCCTGGAAGCCCACGCCTCCGGTCCAAACCTTCAGTGGGACCCGAGCCTAAACCCTGAAGTGCTGGAAGCTTTAATCCCAAGGCCGCAGCCCAACAGCCGCAGCTGCCTCAAACCCTGCTTATGCCATTGTATTATTTGTTAAGCCCCATACCCGTAGCAGTATGTTATCTACATGCTTTAATCTCGTGGGGTTCAATTACAAGAGACTCGAAGTAAGCAACACAGGCTTGAGCTCTAGGGACGTAAGGCTTCAGGCGAAAAGGCCTCCAGGGATGAGGCTTTGTCCCGTACGAGGCTGATTCTCGTGATCGCGCAGTGCTTCCCTACTGAGAGTGCCGAGAAGCTTCTGCAGCAGGGGCCCTGGATTTTTTGATTGTAAGTTGTAACGCGGGTCTCGCGAGTTGATCTGTATTTGAGTTTAGAGCTCAGGCTTCTAGTTCGGATTCATGCGTTGAAGACCTTTTTGGTAGTCCGACTCTGGAGATTCTCGTGCCGAGGGTCTGGCAGTGTAATATGACTTGGCTTTGAGTCGAGGCAGTCCTGCTGCCTGACCACCACCACAGTTCGTGTGCGGCTGATCATCGCGTTTCTGGGTCGTTGTCCGGGAGCTTTTACCTGAGGATACCATCATAGTAAATCACGTGCTTTCTGTACTATGATAGCTCAATTTTTGCTCCTTCACAAGAACCGAGGTTTCTCCTCAATGCACTCTGGTTGCCCTTCTACGTGAACCTGTACTGGGGCAAGGCTCTGCTTGTGATCGTCGTCTACCTCATTTTTCTGCTCTTGGCTTACATCGACGTAAACACCACGACCACGACCTCGTTCTGGGAGTGGGTCTTGTACGGTGCGGGCATTGCATGCAACATCAGTTGGGTGATTGTGGCGACAGCCGCCAACAAGTTCACTCTTCTGGGCTCCTTCGGTTGGGAGGACGTCTATGGAGTTGCAGGGACCCCATGGGCCGCAGTCCTTGTTGTTGCCGTCGTTGCATCCGTGGCCGTTATGATAGGCACAATGCGCAGCGATTTTGCTTGGTCGATTACGGCATGCTGGGCTCTAGCAGGGCTGCACAGGCAGCACACGATCTCCGACCCGAGCAGCTTCCCTCCGGAAGCCATGAACAAGACGTTGGCGCTGTGCGCGCTTTGGGCGGCCATCGTCGTTGGGGTGGCAACGGTGACTGGCCTCTTCCTGATACCTTACAATGGCGTTTTCAAGTCCAAGGGCCGGGAGATTGAGCACAAGCCCCTGATTGTTGGATGACCGGATCCTGTTAACCAAAAAGAGCCGAAGCTTGTGTGACATCGTGTACGGTGGCCTCAACGAAGATTGATGGGTGCTGGGCACGGTACAGGGGTTGGGACTCGGGCTCAGATTTCAGCGCAGCCAGGTAGGGAAGTGCAGAGCCTTTGCAACTCCCTGACCTCCAGCATCAGGGACAAAGTACTCCTGAAACTTGACCCCTTTCAAGTGCCGAAAGGTAGCTACCCCCCAAGTCCCTGAAGCCTCAACGCCTACGACATCGACATTGATCGTGCGCAGATAGTTTTTCATTGACAGCTTCGGGGGCAGCGGAGATCAGGCCGCAAATGGCTCTGGAGTAGATCTGATTTTGAGCGTCCCTTGTGTAAGTGAGTTTGTATGAGATCTTCCACCATGCGAGTGGATGCTGTGTCAAAGTCATATGCTTGCAAGGAAGTCGTTCGAGCAGCCACCTTTGTGATCCCACAATCTGAACACTGAAGCAGCTGCTCGAATGGCATAATTCCACCAGATGATAAGTATCTGTGGGTCAGAGTGTCGAACGAAGAAGAGCAGTTGGCTACAACTGCCCTATTGCACCCACCGGTTGGATGTAATAGGATTTATCATTACAGTAGTGACTAGTGGTTGTTTGTAAACATCCCTCCTATCTCGCTGCATCCTGCACTGCTGTTGTTGTTGCTGCATAGTCTCGGCTGCTCTCCAGGCTAGAACTAGCGCCACGAACAGCTTGGAATGCAGGGAGACCTGAAAACGGACACTGCGCAGAGCCGCATCAGATCTCACGGAGTCTCGTTGCTCTTCGTCAGCCGTTAGCCTTCGGTCGATACGTCGGGTCCGTCTTCAAAGACCTGTTGAAGATGCCATAATCGGCTACAGTAGGCATAAGATGCCTGTATGAGGCCCCTGAGAGCCTTATGAAAAACATGCGGCCACCTAAAAGTAAAATCCTTCACAAGCCCAGTAAAGCTAGAGCCCTGGAGGAGAAAGGCTTTATGAACTGGACCCGGGGCATATTCACAGGCTTGGAGTGCTTAGACTGCGCTGTTTGGATTGCGGGTGTTTGGGTCTAGCAAGAAAGCTTGGCCTTTCCAATCTGCACTCTGGCGGGCTGTCTATGTGCTCAGAGGCTAGCAGAGCACTGCAACTAGTTTCAGTGTCCAAAGAGAGCTCAGCAGCCATGGCGAATATGGGGGAGAAGCTCCTGGTGCTGTTGACCTTCCTCTTCAGCCTGGTGATCAATGGTTTGGCGGCGAGCGGTTCCCTTTCCGCCCTCACCATCGCCGAAGTGTCCGACAAGTACCCGACCTATGTCACACCGGACAGGTTGACCTTCGCCGTCTGGGGGGTGATCTACCTGCTCGAGCTGTTGCTCGTAGTAGCTCAGTTTGGCACCAGTGAGCGTACAGAGAAGGCTTTGTCTAAACCAGGTTGCCTGACAACCCTCCCGGTTCGTTGGCGCTTGATCATGGCCTTCTTGCTTAATGCGCTTTGGCTGCCGCTCTACACCAACTTGCAGTTTGGGAAGGCGCTGCTGGTCATCATTCTCTACTTGATACTCCTTATCTCGATCTACATCGACGTCAACACGGTTTCGTTGCAGTCATTTTGGGAGTGGGTCGTGTACGGCTCGGGCATTGCCTGCAATCTCAGCTGGGTGATCGTGGCAACCCTAGCCAACAAGTTCAATCTGGCGGCAAGCTATGGCGTTGGCATTGATCAGCACCTCGCCCTGGGGCTGGCTGGGGGCATCCTGTACTGGGAAAACAGGGGCCTTAGTACTCAGAACAGGGCTTTCGGGCGCATTGTACTATAGAAATAACAAGAACCCCCCCCCCCCCCCAAATAGTATAGGTACTTCTTTAGGAGCCAATAGCAGTTCCATTTTCGTCTAGCGACTGACTGTCTAGAGAATGACATCCTTTCCAAATTGCTTCACACGGGTCGTGTGACTGCCAAACCCATGTGATTTGCGACATTTCCCATGCTGTGTGTGTGTGCCGCCCCCATCATCACGAGCTCCCTGTTCTCGCGCAGTTTAAGGTTTGTTCCTGCATTAAGGGGTATTGGTCTCGGGTCTCTGTAGCCTTCTGGCAGGTATGGAGTTGCCGGGACGCCCCATCTTGCGATTTTGTTGGTTGCCCTCCTCGCTGCCAAAGCCATCGTGATGGGCACCGTGCGGAGCGACCTTGCTTGGTCCTTGGTGGCGGTGGCCCAGTCTGCCTTTGGAAATGCGTTTTCCTTTTCGCCCTGCACCATGATTCGGCCTTGAGTTGATCCTTCAATCCTTCCTTGCACCTCCAACGGGGGCTTGCAAAACCTTGTCTAGAAATCCCACGGGACCCTGCTTGAAAGCCAAAGTGCTGCTTTTAGCACTAAGATCCACCATAGCTGCGCAGGTTTGGTTCCTCGCCGGCCTCTATCGCCAGCACACCTACCCCAGCAACTTCCCTCAGGAGCACAATTTGATCACCGACCCAAGACTTTGAAGCCTGAAGTCCGAAACTGTCGACTTGTCAAACCGAAGCCTAACCCCGGAAGACTTCTAATCCTGAACCTTGAACGCCTAAGTCTTGGAACCTTAGACCGTAGACACTAAAAACCTTAAAGCCTAAAGCAAACGCTCTAGAAACCCAGCATTCCCTTCCAGGAGGCCATGAGCCGGACCCTGGCTTTGGTGCCCCGGCTTTGGGGTTCAGGCGGGTTGTGGCATGGGTTTCCAGCGCTCAGAGTTTGGTTTTGGGGGGGTTCAGAGGGCAGAGTTGCTGGCGGTTTGATTCGTTGTCCCACGCGTTTAGAGGGCTTGTATCAAGGCATTTGGAGGGTTCTTGGAGAGGCTGTGGCGTGCAGAGGGTTGTTACTGCGGATACAGTGGGCTGCGCAAAAGTCATCGACCCTGCAAGGCTTTAGGTCTTGACAATTTCAGGGTCAGGCCATGCCAAGCAGGTAGGGACCCGCTGATGGGAACCTAGGTCTGCCTCTGGTCCGGCTGTGTCGTCAGCTTGGCCACGGTGTGCGGGCTGTTCATGAGCTCCTCCAACGGCGCGTTCCGTCCGAACGATGGGGCGGCAGAATGATGGCCGAAAGCCTTGTGTTCAAGGCTGCTTGCTCGAAGAACGTGTAGGACTCATAGCGGAATGAACTCTAACAAGCCCCCACACTCTCGACCCATAGAGCCGAGGCATTCTAATTCTGCCTGTCGTTCGTGTTCGGATGATTTTCGAGTTCAGGTCGTCGAACTGTGGAAATTTGGGGGCGGCCTCAACGAAGATTGAAGGGCGCTTTGCGCAGAGTCGTAGAGGGTCATCGTAATTCATTTGTCCAGTTCGGCAGATACGTGCTTGAGCTGCGATGTCACAATGAGTATTCAGGAGGAGAGAGCAGCTGCACTCGCAGCAGGGACATGTTAGTTGAGTCGACAATGTTGATGATGCCACCGTAAGTGCTTTTCGATCACTGCCTTGTTGTCCAGCTTGATGATGCCGATGGCAAAAGCACACGTGTAAGATGCGGCGTGGAGTGAAGTGGCAGTTGTCGGCTCTCACATCAGTTTGCGGCATGGCATCAAGGATTGCAGGTGCAAAGTCACTGTTGTCTTCTACAGGGTTTTCGTATTCCAAGCCACGTAGGATACTAGCCTTGCCGTTGAGATGCCACGGTTCTTTCCTGGACCTGCCAGGATGCACTGTGTAAGTTAATCGATGCATGTGCCAGCAATTGAAATCCTTTGTTGGCAACCGCCTTTCTACAAGCTCTTGTGACTGGGTGTATGGTGTCGTGGTTCGTGGATCTTAAACCTGGTAGAATCTGGTAGAACTCAATGTAAGCTCCGTCAATTTTGGTAGATGGGCATCGGCACCACAGCCAACCCGAGATCCGAAAACAGGTGCGTGCCGCGTTCAGTCTTCAGGGTTCTCTCCAAGGGGCCAGCATCGATTTGTCCTAAACCTAAACCCGAAGTCTCAAGTACCGAAGCAGCAAAACGAGGGTTCAGAGAAGCCTTTGTGCAGGCACTCGTAGGCTTGCAGAGGCTGGCCCTGAAAAGCAAGCTTCCATAACCCAAAGACGACGGCAGGTTTGGATCCGCCGTCGTCAGACAACTCGAGGCTGGAGTGCCATCCCACTTTATGGTGAATAGTGGAGCTTTGAGGCGGGTTGAGCTTGTAGTTTGGGGTCACGGGGGATTGAGATATTAGGGGCCGGTCACACAGCATGTCCCAGATGCGTTAATGCTAACATAGCCCGCAGATAGAAGCTTTGACTATGGCCCTCTCTTCAGGCACTTAATACTAGAACACCGTTATGGGGTTCTTCTGTTTTTGAATCCATCAAAGGATCTGGGGCTCCTTGCTACATGGCCCTATGTTTCGATTCGAGGCCTGAAACTGTAAAAATAAATGGAACACAGAACGCACCATGATAATGATAAGGTGGCGCGAAAACCTACTTGTTAAGGGAACATGTTGCCAGTTTCCTAACAGAGAACCTAAAACATACAGGTCATGTGGACTACGGGTAGCATGCTTAGAATTAGGGTACAGGCTTTCCTGAACTGTCCTCAAGCCAGTCTTAATCAGGGAGCATGCAAGGCCCGGGTTTTAGTCCTTCAGCCGAAGGCGCCCTGCAGCTGGCTCAGGGTTGATCAATATCTGTGGGGCTTGCGGTGGTTCGGGCTCTTCTTCGATAGCCTGTTTTTATTCCTTTTGCATCTGCCTGGACTGCGAACCCTGATGCAGAAAAACCGGAGCTCGGAGGGTGAAATGATAGTAGCTACAGCTACTGTGGCATGCAACATGCTGCGGAGACTTGCAAGGGTCCGTTCGCTTATGACAGGAACAACTTTTGGCTACTGAACCCCGAAAGTTCAAACTATAGGCCTGATTTCGCATAGCTTCCAACAGAGCTGAAATTTTGGCTCTAAGGCTAGGGCCTTTGAGGGTGAGCTCCAGCATTGAAAGCTTGTGCGATAGCCCCGCGAAGCCTTGGGCTGGCATTGAATTTCTATCAGTGCAATAGTTAATGGTTAAACATGTTTCCTCATTAGATTTTAAAGTTAACCCATGTCCGGGTGTCACGGTTGGAGACTGAGGATTAGAGTTCAGAGGTGCGCCGGTGGGGTCGCGATAGGGGGTGTGGCATCGGAGGTTCACCCGTGGGGGGTGCGGCGCGGGAGGTTCCATGCACCAGTCCCGGTGCGGGTCGCGATACGGGGTGCGGCGATGCAGGGTGCGGCGCGGGAGGTTCCACCGACGGGGGTCGCGATACCTCAGTGCGGGAGGTTCCACCGTGGTGAGTCGCGATGCGGAAGGTTCCAGACTTTTGGATTTGTCGGCGTACTATATCCTTGGCATGCGGTGTTGCATCCTAGACTTCAGACCGCCGTAGAACCAAAGTGAATTTCCAACGTGCTTGGCATGCGCCCTGCACAGGAGCCTCGGGTTTCCGGGTTCAGGGCTTTTTCAGGGCGGCCTTCAAGGCGCTTGGTATGGGGCTGCCGTTTTTCACGGAGACCCCGACCTTAGTCGACGCGCAGTGCCTGGCGATGTCCCCGTCTCCACGTGTCTGTAGGCTCTAGACTCCTGAAGTGCCAAACTCCGAACCCTTTTCCGTTCCTCCAGGCCCAACTTGCCGCATGCCAGCAGGCAAGTGAGGCTGGGTGCTCTAACAGACAAAAGCTGCTCATGGTGCAGAGCCACGGTTCAGGGTTTGGGGTTGGGCTCGGGCTTTCGGTCTAGATTTGAGGATTCGGGAAGTTTAGGATTTAGCATCGGGTTTGGGCCATGTGACCGCCAGGGAATTACGGCCCTGCAGCTGTCAATCCCAAACCGCTAAACCTCAAATTCCTGAAGCCTAGAAACGCCTTAACTCCGGATTCAACTTCCGGAAATCCTGATCACAATGCCACAAATAAAACCTTAAACCCCTAAACCTAAACCTAAACCCGTCTCCCCTTACAGCTAGAAAGTGGTTCGTGGGTCGGTATCTCCTGCTGACTGTATGATATGCAAGGTTTTAGACTCCTTCAAGTCACCCTACTGTAGGTCCTGAAGACGTATATACATCCTTCCCTTACACCACCAGCACCAGCAGCACCAGCAGCACCACCAGCACCACCAGCACCACCAGCACCAATCTCTTGATTCTTCGCAGCGGCGTGGAGGACAGATCTGGATTGAGGACTCTACAAGGTCGGTTAGCCTTGACTCCAAGTCTGGACACGGCTGTATGCGCACAGTGCAACCTCCCGCCATCGTCTTGGATCCGCATAGGTCTGATGCTACACATCCTTGGACTGATGGGGACAGAATCCTGCGGATAGCTCATCACGCCAAGGGCCTTGGCGAGCTGTCTGCCTCTGATCGCCCGCTGCTGGAATGGTCCGGCTTCAACCTGATCTTGCCGAATAGTGCCTGAATAGTGCCTAAACGGTGGGCGGAGTACCAGCTCATCCTTTATGCACTATTGTATGCCGCATTCCTGATCCATGCTTAGTGCTGCTTTTTCTGGCTTTTTAGGCTTTTCTGGCTTTTCTGCACCGTGGCGCGTCTGCAATTCTCATTCTCGAGTTGCCATGCTTATGGGCTCTTCGGGGCGGTGGTAACTTACCCCCATGCGTATGTGAGGTCAAAGACAGCCGGGGCGGCAACATTGCTGCCTTGACATAAACCTGTTCGCACGGCTTGGACTCCCTAGCTGCGAGTGAAACGAAACGAAACCACCAGCACCACCTCCACTACCTCCACCACCTCCACCACCAGCACCACCTCCTCCACCTCCACCACCAACAGCAACAGGACGAAGAGCAACAGTAAGTCATCAAAATCATGTAAGAACGCAATGTGTCACATGCAACTCCGAGTGAGTATGCAGAACTCCACGTGCCTAGCTTCGATTCTTGGAAGCCTACAACGTAAGTTGACACCGGAGCTGGAAGGTCTTACGTGCCATGGGTGCGGCCTTTCTAGGTTGCAGGAAGGGGTGATATATGACGCCGATGATTGGAAACCCTAAGCCCTAAACATATAGAGCCGTTCGCAGGAGGACGAGACCATTGCACAACACCCCTGAAGCCCTATAAACCCCAATCCCCAAGCCCTCTTTGTGGTTCCTTCAGGCAGAGCTGCGCGCCATAAAAAGAGGCGCCGAGGCTGGATGCCTTTACAGGAACCTGTTCCCAAACGGTCCTGCTCTGTTCAGACGTGCGCTAAACAAATCTGCTGTGGGCAGGCGGCAGTGCGACAACTGGTCGACAACCAGAAGATGCTCCTCTGGCGCAATAGCTGCATGCCGAAAGTAAACGGCACGATCCGCAAGCATGGTATCTGGCTGCTGGAGGTCGGTGAAGGCGCCGCGAGTTCACCCGGCTGCTCCTGCCGAACCCCTGGGGCTTGTTTATTCGGTCTAGATTTCGGGTCTAGCGAAGTTTAGGGTTTACCTTCAAGTTGGGCCAGGTTGGCGGGGCGGTTTTGGCTCCTCGTAAAGTTGTGATTGCGTTGCTATTCATGTTCGCTGAGACTCATCACTACTTTGTTGAAGTTATTGGCGTCATGCAGCTTCTTTGCCAGAAGCAGGAGCAGGCATGCCAGGAGTAGCAGGAGTAGTAAAGCAGCAGACGTCGCCGTCGCCGTAGAAGTAGCAGTACCAGTAGCAGTAGCCGCAGCAGTCGCAGGAGGGTAGCAGAACAGGCGCAGTAGCAGCAGCAGTGGTAGTGGTAACGTTAGTAGTACAACTGCGACTGCTTGGATTCAGTTCGGGCTTTTAGATCTTCGGATCTAGGGCTTTGCGGTTGAAAGGTTGCTTCAACATAGCCTGTCCCTGAGGCTTCGGGTAGTCCGCGTCCTCGTGGTGGTATTGGCCGTAGTTGTCGTTCGCTCTTCTTATTCTTCTTGTTTTTGTGGTGGTGGAGGCTGGCGCTGATCATGATCACGGTCATGGCACATCATGCTCAGGGGCCCTGCCACAGTCATGATCATGGTTGGATGTCCGGAATGCCTGTGGTTTGTCGTTAGGTCTATGCCTGCTTGTGGGTTCTAGTCTTGTCATCATCTAGATTGAGATGCGATGTAGATAGGTAGGT